GAGAAAGAAAATTTCACCATCGCTTGTTTATGTCCTCCATAAAGCATGAAATTTGGCATTTTCTTGTCTTGGTTGTGCAGTGATGGCTAAAAAAATGTACAAAATAGCGTGATGCACGTGCAGAGTTGTTCCTTTGCCTGTTCATTTCAACCTATTGCCTTTTTGACGTTCTCTTTGTCGTCGCCGTTGTGGCATCTTAATAAAGTCCCTAATGATAATTTTTTTATGCCGTCTTTGTTGCTTCATTATTAACAAACCCCAGCCCAACCTCTAATCAGGGGGAACCTCTATTCAAGGGACACTTGCTTTGGTCCTGAGGGTGTCCTTTGAAAAGAGGTTTCATTGTATTCGTTTTATCTATTGCTTCAAATATATTTTTTTATTTCAAAGTTCACTTAACAACTTTCTGTGCTTTGCACTGTGAGCCTGTTGACTTTCTTGATCGGTATTATTATGATAATCTTTGATAACTAAGACTTTTTTGTGCTCCATTTCTTGTACACTGTACAAGTTAAAATTCACACCAAATAGTATTGCATGAAACCTGAAATGATGCGACAATGGCCGCTATTGTCAAGTGAAATTTATCCTATGTTATAAAGTTATTCTTCAGGTATTATTTAGTCTACTACACAGCCGTTTTTAGTGTCGTCACTCAAAGCTCCTCCCCACTAACGGCTAGTGGGAAGGAGCGTTGCGTGACGACACTAAAAACGGCTGTGTAGCAGACTAGGTGTTATTAAGTCAGTCCGATAATGAGTTTTTGTGTGTCTTGCATAAAAATAGTTATCATCTTAATATTTTTTTTTACCACTTATTACCCTTCTTTGTTCAAATCATAATCTTTCATCTAATGTCGGGGAGAGAAGATGTTGCCTGGCTTGCTCATGGTAGGGAATTAAGGGAGATGTGGTGTTGCCCTCTTCCTAAAGGTCTGGGGACGAGCCAGGGACCACATGGTCTAGTGTATACTGGGCAACCTCATAGGGATTGGCTGGGAAAACAATGAACAAACAAAGTAACAATGGAAACTAGCCCGAAACAAAAGAGCTGCGACATAGGAATCCAAGCAAATTAGAGGTTCTAAAGAGCTGCAAGGTTACGGTTTTGACAAATGATGTTGAGCTAAACATATTGCACAAATTTTGCTGCAGCTGATGGCGACTTGGTTAAATTAGCCTCCGAAACGCATATCTACGTCCGGTTTTTCGGAGGGAGCGAAGCGACAACCGGAAATACGTCTGCGTTTCGCAGTCTATGGTTAAATGGGGTGTGAATGCGGTTGTTTTCAGTTGTTAATTTATGGTAGCGGAAATGTCCGCTTATAAGAAGGTCCCTTTTTTTGAAGTAGGTTCTTGTTCTTGGGGTACTTATTGGCAATTTAGGCCAGGTAGGTTCTTAATTAGGTTCTTACGAGTAATTTTTATGAAGGACATAATAGATTGTTTATAATGAGAAAAATCAATAAATTTTCTGTTTATTCACAATTATGATAACCCTAACAAAACTTATTACCAAATATCATACAGTTTAGTACAGTATGTTTTTGTTGTACTTAAATTTACAGCTCAAAGTTACACTCCTTTGTTAAATGGTTTATCATAATTTAACAGTAAAAATTAACCAGAAGAACCTGCTTGATTATATTTAGCTTGCCTAAACAGGTTCTTGTATTCTTAGGTATTAAAGTGCAGATTTCTGCGGGAGGTTCTTAACCACAGGTTCTTATTAGCGGGTGTTTACTGTAACTGCCTCTATAGTCAAACCAGTCAAACCTGTATTAAGCGGACCTCTATAAGCGGTCACCAATTAAAGTCCTGGAAATAGCTTCCCTTAATTATTGTAAAAACTGATCTGTATTTAGCAGTTATATCTATTAAGCAGCCGTGGTCACCTATTTTCGAGGTCCCAATCAGTAATTTGTTATTGCCTTTACCTCTATTAAACTGGCCCTTTGACAAGATGTGCCACACTAGTGCAAAAGCATACACTGTGTATGTGAGGTGTTTAGTGGTCTTTTACAGACTTTCCAACATCCCCCAAAAGGCAAAAAATGTGAGATTCTGAACCTTGAGCTAGGAAGAGTATTGCAGGGAAATGGGTATAAAGCGGGGGGTCTTAAATTATGGGGCAAAACAAGGATCGTGGTTAATTTTTATACTGAAAGATTACAACTGAACCACCGTAGATTTTGGTGCCTTACTTATGAGTCAAAAAAGATGATGAGGGAAAGGATAGATCTTTTTGTTTTTTCTTTGGTCCGTACATTAAGTTGAGGACCAAAAATTTACCAATCTAGAAAAAGAAAGATAAGTTATGGTGAAAAAAAAAAGAACGAAAATATAAATATGAGCGGTCTTGACAAATGATTTTGAGCTGAACATATTGAACTCACTGTGCTGTAACTGAGGGCATAACTGCTTATCCTGTAGCAAGTGAGATCTCAGTGAAATGTGCTGTGAATCGTTGTGTTTAGTTGTTATTTTGTAGTAACTACTGCTACTATAGTCAATGTAACTTAAATTATATCATTATCTTTACTTACCGTTTCAGTTTTACTTTCTGCCTGAAACTACAATGAAGGTCACCAAGGATACAGTTACAATTAGCGAACTATATGTAAAAAGAGGATTTTATCGTACTGAAGGACACACTGTTCAACTAAAAGATGCTGATCCAAATGAGCTTCAGCTTTTTATTGACAATATGCCCGCCACTAGCACAGGTAAGAGTTTGAAATATGGTTTTTGATAAAAAGAGGAATAGGATTAAACGTACTGTATGCACGTAAGTTTAGAAACAGGTAGCTCAAGCTTATGACGGGAGTAGTTAGTTTGGGTTTTGAATTGAGAAGCACATGGTTAAACCCGTACATATGTATGGATAGCTGGGCTTAAGGTGACTCGAACCAGTTTTCGGGGGTACCATCCTACTTTGAAGCTCTCTGGTATCCCCACCTTTACGTTTATCGTAAGTCTAACACATAGAATGGATAACATATAAATCAATCTACAATATAACATAACATTTTTGGCGATCGGAGTAAATGTCACGTGGTTATAATGCCGAGGGATACATCTCCTAGTTTATTAGATATAATCGTATGAAGTTGGCTTTTCATTTTCGCATAAATTATGACCTAAATTTGGAAACCGCTGAATTTCTCGACTTGGGTCTTTGCGATTTTGGTGAAACTCTGTTCAGCGCAAGGCACTAATGCGCACTATGTGTAGCCGAGAGATTTTCACGAAAAAATGCCGGCAACAGCAGATTTTCGACTCACACCTCAAAGGGGCGTGGCCTTATTATTGTATTGTAATGACTGCGAAGCAACTCGGCAAGTAAGGATGCTGCAAGCACCTATGAAAGGCCGGAAAATTAGCGCGAAACGGACGAACCGCTGTCGCAGGGGAGAGTAGCAGTTCGCCTAGGCATGTTTCAAGTTAAGGAAACCTGGATAAGTTCCGGCCGTTTGGGCCTTTAGCTCGTGTGCGTCTTTACCTTTTTACTCTTTTCAACGCGAGCGTACGAATAAGCTTTCGAAATGTAAGAATTATAGAGAATTTTTTTTTTTTTTCAAACCCGATTAGTGCTAAGACACATTGATGAAGGAGTCTGAAGAGTCCAGTCTCCTTTCCTTATCATAGAACCACTGTGACCGACACCAACTCCACTGATCTAGAAGTAGAAAGCTACTACAAACGCATTTGGTGCCCTACTACTAAAATTAAAAATGTGCAATGCGGCTGTGCTCCCGTCACCACTCAATTCATTTGAATGCTCGTCAAGAAGCTGAAAAAAAAAACACTTTTACACCATCTACTAAATTCTCGCCATAGATGGCAGGACGGAATTCCTGATGTAGAGGTGTTCAGGAGGTCGAGGGCTGACTCTGTTACTTTGGAAGCTCTCATCACCTCATATCACCTTTTCTTAGCTTCGCTGGGGAGAAAATTTCAACGGAATAAACTTTTTCAGTCCTCCAAGAGCAGTGTTTTGTGGTAATCTGTGTCGGGAACGATAACACATGACTGCCAGAAACTAAGTTTTAAAAGGTATTATATGTTTGAAATAAGACATGAAAAAGGACACATTAGAAAGACCCAGCTTTAGATCATTCCAAGTGGCTTCGTGCCTTGAAGGAGTCAATTGCCGCAATTAAAGGGAAGGGACGGAAGAATTATCAAAAGGCAAACGCAACGCAAGGAGACTTTTCTCAACAGTCTAAACCTCATATGTGTACATTGCCATCGCCGCTGTCGCTCTGTCAGGTCTGTCACAGCTAACAACCCTGTACAGGACAATCATCATCGGAGACCATGTAGCTGACTTCAGTTGGTAATTATCAGATAATCTGAAAAAAGCTTTGTAGAAATGAAATTTTACGCTTAAAATTGATCGGGTGACAAAATGCTTTTTATCGAATCGAGTGTTAATACGTCTTGTATGAATTTTTTAGCATGCGATATCCTTGGGAGCACGTTTCCTAAAGTTGAAGTCTAACATACATTTGTGCCAGTAAAAATTATGCAGTACTCTTTCATCATTGTTGATCCTAGCAGTTTGTGGGACGTGTGTCACTTATGAACCTAGTAAATGCCTTAGTAGCCTTGCCATCAGTGTCCCTGTATCATTATACAGTACTCTTTCATCATTGCTGATCCTAGCAATTTGTAGGACGTGTGTGTCACATATGAACCTAGTAAATGGCTTATTACCCTTACCATTGGTCTCTCTGACCTTATCATTATACAGTACTCTTTCATCATTGCTGATCCTAAGCAGTATGTAGAACGCGTGTCGCACATAAAGCGTAGTTTAGTAGCAGTTGTTGTTTATTCTTGGGTGTGTCCTCTGCTTTAAATCCTTTAAGTTACAGTTCGTTTTTTTTTTTCTGTTGTTATTTAAGTGTCATATAATATACTCCTCTTCTATCGCTCTTGGCAGTTTTCAGTTGTTTTATTTTTTATTTTTACTTTTTTGGATTCCCTTCAGCAACTATGGAGGATCTACGTGGAGCAAGCGTACAAACGCGTGGAGACTTACCAAGGCCATCAAGGGAAATACAGCAGCACGAAGCAAATTTAGAGAGGCAGCTCAGAGAGATGAGGCAACGGGAAGAAAATCTGCAAAGCCAACTAAGGGAGACACAGCAACGTGAAGAAAACACACAAAGGCAGTTGATGGAGATGCAGCAAAACTCTCAAAGACAGTTAAGAGAGATGCAACAACGTGAAGAAAACTTACAACGTCAGCTGAGGGAGACACAGCAACGTGAAGAAAACTTACAAAGGCATTTGAGGGAGATGCAGCAAAACTCACAAAGTCAGCTGAGGGAGACACAGCAACGTGAAGAAAACTTACAAAGGCATTTGAGGGAGATGCAGCAAAACTCACAAAGTCAGCTGAGGGAGACACAGCAACGTGAAGAAAACTTACAAAGGCATTTGAGGGAGATGCAGCAAAACTTACAACGTCAGCTGAGGGAGACACAGCAACGTGAAGAAAACTTACAAAGGCATTTGAGGGAGATGCAGCAAAACTCACAAAGTCAGCTGAGGGAGACACAGCAACGTGAAGAAAACTTAGAAAGTCAGCTTAGGGAGATGCGGCAGCGATTTGAAAACTCCCAACAACGGGTTTCCACCTTGGAAAGACAGCTTAGAGACAAAGACCAGGAAGTAAATGAGCTTGTGTTAAGTCTTTCGTTAGCCCAGCAAACAATAAGTGAACAGCATCAACAGGAAACATGCGACTGGGTCATTTCCCGCGATGAAATTCAAATGACCAATAAATGCCTTGGCAGGGGAGGCTGGGGAAGTGTTTATGAAGGCGTGTATTGTGGCTGTACTGTAGCAGTAAAGCAAATTCATGATCTGATTCTCTCCCCTCATAACATACGTCTTTTTGAGAGAGAAATGAATATTGCATTCAAATGCCGCCATCCTCACTTGCTACAGTTTATCGGCGCCACTAACGATGAGGGAAACCCTCTGTTTGTGACGGAGCTGATGGAAAAAAGTTTGCGAGCTCTGTTAGAACAGCGACAACTCTCCGAGATAGAAATACGTGTCATTCTTCTGGATGTAGCCCGAGCAATCAACTACCTTCATCAGAAGAAACCAGAGCCTATCATTCACCGGGATGTGAGCAGTGCTAATGTGTTGCTATGGCGACAAGGCGACCAATGGTGGGGCAAAGTGTCAGATTATGGCACTGCTAATTTCATGCAGCAGACCATGACAGTGGCTCCTGGAGCTATGATTTACTGCGCACCCGAGGCACTTACATCAAACCAAACGGTCAAGGTGAGTTTTCTTGAATTTAGGGCTTTTCTGATTCAACACTGTTTCATCAACACGTTTGACATTTAGAAGAAACGCGTTGGTGCATTGATCTTGAGCGCCTAGGATTTTAAGGCCTGGTTGATCGTTTACTCACACAAAAGAAACTCAACTACTCTATGTCCTTCTTCACCTCGGTGTAAAATTGGAAGCAGCAAATTGATGCTGATCTGTTTAGCTTTGTGTGAGCCAAACTAACATTCTGTGCTGAGTGGGAGTGGCAATATCTCTTCACAGTAATTTTCAAGGAGTTATAATTACTCCTCTAGTGGGGCTAATTTAACTCCTTACAGTGGAGTTATTTTTTGGGGAGTTAGTTTAACTCCAAAAAGGAGTTTAAAGAACTCTTTTTCAGGAGTAAAAGTGACCTCAGATATTGACAAGTTAAAATAACCCCAAAAAAGGAGTTATCCTGTACCTAAAAGTTTTATTCCACTTTCAGAGTTAAATTAACTCAAAAAAGAGTCAAAAACAACCCATTTAAGGAGTAAAAATAACCCCATTTCGGAGTTATTTTAACTCCAGACTGGGAGACTCTTTCGGGAGTACAAATGACCCCAAATTCGGAGTTAAATTAAGAGTTAAAGTAACCCCCAAGAAGGGGTTATCCTGTACCGAAAATTTTTACTCCGTTTTTGGAGTTATAATAACTCCCTAAAAATTACGGTGTTGCTGCTTAATTCCCAGCCAAACGGTGGTAACGGTGTTAGTTTTATGCTTCATCGATTGACCTCAAACATTCATCGGTAATCTCTACTACTGTATTGATCGTTTTCCAGGAGTTTACGAAACGAAAACAAGCTGTAGACGTGTGGTTTTCTCATTACAGTCGAACCCCGCTATTTCGAAGTCCCAAGGGAAATGGAAAAAAGTTCGAAATAGCGGGATTACGAAATAACCGGGGAAGCGTAAAGGGAAGGGTAAATCCAAGGGACTTTGTTCTTCCTTCGAAATAGCGAGGACTTCGAATTAACCGAGTTCGAAATAGCGGGGTTCGACTGTAATTGTTCAGTTCGAAAATCGTGCTGGAGACTTAGAGTCAAACCTTTCCAAAACGACTGCCTTTGGGAGAGAGTAACGTCACCGCGCGGGAAAGTGGCCGTTACAGTGAAGTCAGTTCAAGGGTACCCCCGCAAGATTCCATTGATGAATTTATTTTGCGAAAGTCGAATCCGTTGGTAGTTGTAGATTTCTGATTCATCTCTGCATTCTTGGATACACAATTTGCCGTCAATTCACACGCGAAGCAGTTCTGATATTTCTATCAGCATAGTTTCCCTGAATTTGATGTAAATGTCTTCGAAGCAATTTTATCCATTCAAAGATTTTCAATCTGACCAAATACAGAAAAGTTCTCGTTGAAATATTCACTGCTCATTACGCGTGCAGGAATGCCGATTTGAATTTGAAGCTAGTTACGGGAACGACGGATCATTTTTCAAATAATCAGTTCATTAATAGAACATGATATTGGAGGGCGGGGTGTAAAGTGACTCCATGGTTTATTTGGGGGAGGTTGGGGGGAGGAGTTTACAATATCTGGGTGAAGTTTATCCTTCAGCTTAATAAGATCTCAAACAGAATGTAATACTTACAGTCTATCCAGTTCAAGCGTACCCCCCAAGATTCGATTAATGAACTTATTATTCTAAAGTTGAATCCGTTGGTGTTTGTAGATTGGAGATTCATCTCTGCATTCCTGTATGCTTAATGAGCAGTTAATTGACACGCGAGGTACATGCAGTTACCAGTTCTAGTAGCTTTGTTTTCTTGAATTTGATGTAAATGTCTTTGAAGCAATTTTATCCATTCAAAGATTTTTCAATCTGACCGAATACAGAGAGGCTATCGTAAAAACGTCACTGCTAATCACGCATACAGAAATGCAGAATTGAATATGATACTGGTTGCGTAGTTACAAAAAGAAGGAATGATCTAAAATGACCTAAAAACGAGCTACAACGGTATCTAAAATAAATATTTGAAGATGTCTCAAATAACCTTAAATTATTAAACTAATACAGGCAATAGGAATGTAATTTCGCTTACCCCGCATGTGGTTTCGAAAGAGTTCTTCTGTTAAAATATGTCTCTAACATGTTTCCTGAAGAACGCAACAAAGTTACGTTGACACACAACACAACTGGATTAGCATGACACGTAATCCTCTTAGTCGCGCGGCGCAAAGATGGTGACGCGATAATAAGCCAGTTTGCTTAACAAATCAGTTGCCATTAGAGCTCACAGCGCACTTGTTCTACATCAATAAAATCTCCTTTGCTGGGCAAATTCCAATTGTTGTGCTGCGAATTCTGTACCAAACGATCAAGCCTAATTTTAGCATCTTACATATTCCTGGCGAAATTTTATTTAGAGTCTGATCTCAGGTTTAATACCGTCAGGTAAACTCAAGATTTTTGCGCCATCAGCTCTACTCCAATCAAAACAGTGTTGCTGGGCGAACTTTTTTCTTCGTGTCTCCGCACCGCGTGACAAGAAGACTTACGTGACACACTAATCCTGCTCTTTGTCAACGTAAAGTTTATATTGAGTTGTTTATTAGGAAACCTTCAACGGTGTAACTAAGAAGTAGAATTGTTTCGAAACCACTTGCGAGGTCAGTAAAAAAAAAATTAACATTAAAAATGTGTGTATCGTTCATAGGTTGATGTTTATAGCTTTGGTGTTCTTCTTTGTGAAATGTGCGTCCGGGAACTTCCAGATCCTAGAAGGCGTGAACAGCAAGTTCTGCTCATGACGAACCATGTGTTGAGAGGCCTGGTACGGCGATGCCTGCAGATAGATCCTGAAGCGAGACCAACCATGCAGAGGATAATCGATGAACTATCAGGCTCTGTGTAACGTTCATCAAGTATTTTGTCAGAATTTTGTGAAAACTTTCGTAGTTGATAGAGTTGAATCGCTAGAAATCTTTTGTGCGGGAATTCGTGTGTAATTGTTTATCGTGACAATGTAGTTCACACAAGTGTTGCTAGAAAACAAATTACTCGGTTTGAAAACAGGTTTACAACTTATTTGCTTTTAATTTAGTTTGTAAAAGCAATGTTCTTTTCTTATATTACAGTCAGTGAAATGAGGCTTTTTGACGTGATAGATGAAAGAGAAAGCGAGGTCTTCTATTCTCCGTAACGTTTTAGTAATGGTGCCCAAAAGCCAGATATATTTCTCATTTACCGTTGTGGGAAATGGATTTCTTTAACCAGTATGTTTTGTTTTCCCAATGAATTTGGCCTTTTGTCTTTTCATAAAGTATGCGTACATAAGCACCTGAATAAGACGAAATTTAAAAGAAAAAGTTATGTGGATTATTGGGTGCAGTCACGCTGGCGATTTTACTCATGGGCAAATGGCTGTTGCCCACGTGGAAGCAACTTTTTGTGTGTAACCAATCTCCCTGAGGTGGAATTTCCTCGGGAACGTTTCCATGGATACGTCAAAAAGAACAAAAGACAGTTCATGACAGTTCCCGAGTTACGTTCTATGGGTTAAATAAAACCTAAGGCGGCACCAAACAGTAGAAAATGCAATGTTCTTGGCGCCAAATCCTACTCGTGCTGTCAATTTTTTTTAAGTTTTTCAAAAGCACCTTGAAACACCCCAAAGTATTCTTTACATCAGTGTTCAAGAATTCTCTCCTTATGAAGTCGTTGACACTTTTTTTGTAAATTAAGCCCGTACTTTTGATTGTTAAGCGACAATTTGCCTTTGTTTACAACGACGTTTTCCCGCGATACCAGGTTCAAGTTTTTTCTTCCCCCTTGGCGAATTTATCGCTGTGTAACTGCAAACATGAAAGTGATCAAAACCCAGAGTGAACCCAACCCAAGCTATTTCCCCATTTGAAGCCTTGGAGAAGACGTCTAGTGTGACCGCACCTACTGTCACATGACCTACATTGAGAAAACAAAGCATAGTACAAGCGAAAGAGGTTTATAGCAAATGCTTGCTTGGGATTAACCTTGTTAATAGAGGTCAGGCTTGGCTGAAGATCGCTGAGACGTCAGGCTATATCCTTAGCCTACTTTTTGTATATGATCGTTACATCAGGAGTTTTTTCTTTTTGTAAAGACAACTGAACATTTGACTAACGACCATGAAAAAGTTATATTCCTTCATAAGCAAATAGGTTACTTTTAAAATTTTTTAGTTTAATTCAGAAATTACTCCCTTCTTAAGAAGGTCATGCGCACGAAGCATAAAAAATTGGTCGAAGAGGTCGCTAAAATTGTGACAAATTTGAGGATGTTACACTGAATTAATTATGCGTAGTAGTTCGGTAGACATTTGTAGTTAGCGTTTGCTCTGCCAGTAGTAGGTAACTTACTCATAAAGCAGGGTTTGTTTGTTTGTATGTTTAGTACATACACAATGTACATATGAAGTGAAATAGACAAAAATTCAATTGGCTGAGCCGTTAAAGCTGCGCATAGTAAAGCCCATTGGGTATTTTTAATCAAAAATTCCTACCCAAAAGGTAACTTACCTTTAAAATGGAATTTTTTCTTAATTCATAGTTACCTACTTATTAACCAGGAGACACGCGTGAAATAGACAATGTTACAGAAAAAGACATTATTGAGTGAAGACACAAGTATATATATAATGGCTTTTGAAACGTGTTAGGATATACAATTAAACATGCGTATTAGTAAGCAATTGTAATAAGACTTTCCTATCCAATAGATTATGTTAAAAAAGTAGATTGCAAATCAATTCAGATATGACTTACACGTAGAATAGACAATATTAATTAACGAAAACGAGTAGATTGGTCACTGATATGATATACTATAAGTGTTTCCTATTCAACAGACAACTCGACTTATATAGTAGGATTTTACCCAAATTCATGTTTCTCATATAAAGTGGGTCATACACATGAAATAGACAATATCGAATAAAAGAAACGAGTACGACTAGTTATCTCGCTTATTGCAATGCAAGTCTTAAGGGATATTCAATAAATCTGCAACTATGGCGGCTTTTGAAGCAGAGGCAGAGGTGATTTGTCTCTTGTTGAGACTGGACTCGGTTTTGTTTCTTGTCTCGTGGCCGCAATGCATTTACGGCCAATAATTCTGACGAAAACAGTGAAATGTAATGTACAGCTCCGCACAGCTGCTAAACACATCGTTTACGCTTCGTTAGTGTGGCCATGCATTTCTTGGAAATTGAAGCGTATGAGTTAGCTGATTTATATCAAGACACTTGAAATTAAACCGGAGTATTCTGTTTGGGGGTAAACCCAGCGCTAGGAGCTTAGAAGTTTCAATCTATCCACACTGCCGACCGCAGTTTGAAGAGAGAAAGGTGCATTTTCATCGTGTTAAGATTTGACGAAAGGGATCAAGTTTCATTTATTTAAAAAGAAGTATGTTGCCATGTTTTGGCTCTTGGAATCATGAAGGTGAAATTGCTCCCCTTCAAGGGCTACAAGAGTATGGGAAATCACGGAAAAAGAGCTTTATACGTCAGAATACTTTAATTTGAAAATTAAATGTACCGGAACATTTAAACTTACATTTGTTCCAATGAATGGCGCTTGGTTTAGCTTGAAGTGGAGAGCTCATGCGTCGACATAAAAGGGAAACGCTGAAAATGGTAGGAGTATTTTACTGACAATACCAACTAAACGATGTTTAGCAAGTTACTCATCCAGCGCCGAATCGAAGCGGTTAAGAATTCGCGCCATGTTAGGGTATCAGGATTCCGGATACATGATTCCGGAGTCATGTAGCAGGTGCTTGAAGGAAATGGACTCAAGAAAAAACGGGCACGGGGCGCGCGATGGAAACACGCCACTTCCTCTCCCCTCATGTGTCTCTCTCGCGCGCCTTTTTCTTTCCTGCGCCGTTACTTCCAAGCACCTGCTACACAGGCTATCTTATTTATAACCATAATTAACCTTTGGCCGCAATTAATCGGCCATTAGCAGCCTTGCATCAATAGGAAACAAACGCAATCCTAATTGTGAACGCTTACTGTCTAAAACAATTTGACAGTGAATTGTTTTGGTAAAAATACGTTGCTTAAGTGAAAATATATATTATATACAGCTTTTAATTTCCTTGCGCTGACACGAAAAGTTCTCCGGTATTTTGTGAAGATTGTGAACAATCGCTATCCGATATGTAACACACTATCCACTCTAGGGATCGGCGCGGCGCAGTTTCGCTCCGTTACAGAAATCGCGCCGAAAAGAAATCACCGTTTTTATGTGTGAACAAGAAGCCCTATCCGGTATGATTTTCGAGCCGGCGCAAAAGCTATCCAGTATTAATAGTAATGTGGACATTAAAGCCAAACTTACGCCGTCTGCCGGACAAGTAGAATCCGATGCAGTAACTGTCCTGCGAGCAAATACCTGTGAGTTTATGTCCTTTGGCTACTCGATACCAATATATAGCCATTTCAAAACCTACTTCACGGCAATTAAGAGACTGTTCCATGCTGATGAACATGCTAACCATGTGGAGTCGTTTCCTGCCGCATCTCGCTGGATGATTACTTGTTTGGCTGCGGTCGGATGTTTCCATGACTTGTTGATCATGATCGAAGAGTCAGCTTGTGTTTGGTTTGCATCAACTATGCCCGTCCATTTGTTGTTCCTCGTCCGTTTTCGTCTGTAGAAAAGAGAGAAAACCTTCGTTGATTTATGTTAGCCTAAAAAAACAGCCTACCTTTTGCATTTCCCCTCGAAATATGATGTCTGTCTCGGAGCGAACGCTAATATTCTATCAAAACGGAAGGTCGCTTGCAACTTTTTTAAAAAGGCGTCGTTTACGTTGTGAAACACTGGCAACGTTTGCTTTTTTTTTTTATATTGCATTTCTTTACTTTGTTATAAATTTACTTCATTTGTAAACGTTTTTCCAGGCAAATAGGCTGTTGTAAAACTGCTGATTTTGTTAACGGAGACAAGCAAGCAAGCAAGCAAGCATGTTTTGTCACGGAGACAAGCATATAAATCTACGACAGGTGGATTTCGATTTAAGCGCTCTTGCTTCCAAAGCCTTCAACAACAGTAAAGCGTCGATGGAACGGTTCTTCAGCGACGTTGATTCCCGGGGGGGGTACTGCCATATATGGGCTATATAGGTATGTGCCGCTGTGAAGGGTATGGTTTTCAAGCAGTTTACTCTAGTTTAGGGTATATAAATCAGAGCGTTTGGCTCTAGAATAGGGTATCATTTTTCAGGAAACTGATCAGTTGGTTGAAGATTTTATCTAGACTAGGTACACAGCTACTCTAGGATAGGGGGATTTGTGGAGTTTACTCTAGTATAGGGTAGCAAAATTCAGCTGAACTTGCTCTGGTAAAGGTTAAGGGTTTCAGGCTCCCAGCGGCACATCCCCACCCAGAAATTCCTAAAGTGCCCCCCCCCCGGGCGTTGATTCCTGCATTTGAAGGCAATAAAAAGCGCATAAATATTTTAAATTCATTTCAATCACTCAAATGCGGCTCATCGGTATAAACCGTGTGAAAGTGTGTTCTAATACTTAAATTGAGCCTTAAAATCCCACGGCTACAACTAGATTACAACAAAGCTATTTAAAAGGCTTTGAAACAAGTAACCAAAATGCAAGGAAACAAAATCGTCTAAACAAATAACAGTTCAGTTTCAACTGCTTGAGGCCAAGAAGAGAAAATTTGACAACAACCAGATAAATTCAATCCGTAGCAAATTAAAGAAGCTCTAACACTTTTGAATGAACAGTTGGCGCAGTAGTTTGATAACTTAAAGGCAAAAGCAAAGTTAGTCTAGAAAAATAACGATTTTCGCGTGCCCTGTACCTTTGCTACAAGCTTACGCCACCGAGGAAAATAACGCAAGGAGAAG